TGAGCAGGGACACCTTCCACGAGGCTGCTCCAAGCCCTGTCCAGCCTGGCTCGTCTCACTTTGGAGTTTTTAGACCCTTTTTAGGAGCAAGGCCGTGGTGGCACACGTGGACTCCTGGCCAGGCATGCTGGGGCTGGCTGAGTTTCTGCTGGAAAGCTGTGCCGTGCCTCTCACAAACACCAGATGCTCCAGGCCAGGGAAACAAAGAGCACTTTCTGTAAACAACAGCACACTGCAGCCCTCTCCCAGGCACGAACAAGGGGAACCAGCAAAACAAGTGACAAGAGGTGGAAAACAGAGCAGCGCATGTGGGCTGGGGGGAGAAGTGCAGGATGAAGAGGGAAAAATGGGAAAGGTGCTGGATGCAGGTGAGGGAATGGGAAAGGTGCTGGATGCAGGTGGGAGGATGGGAAAGGTGCTGGATGCAGGTGGGAGGATGGGAAAGGTGCTGGATGCAGGTGGGAGGATGGGAAAGGTGCTGGATGCAGGTGGGAGGATGAGCTCCCTGGGGGCTGCAGCCTCCTCTCACTGTGCAGGGCTGGGAGGGCTTGGGCAGCCTCTGCCCTCTCCATGGAATCCCAGAAAGTTTGGGTGGGAAGGGACCGTAAAGCCCATCCCATTCCATCCCCTGCCATGAGCAGGGACAACTTCCACCATCCCAGGCTGCCCCAAGCCCTGTCAAACCCGGCCTGGAACACCTCCAGGGATGGGGCAGCCAGAACCTTTTCCTTCTTTTTCTTCCACAACCCTCTTCTTTCTTTTTCTTCGGGGTTGCAAGTTGCAGGGGTCACAAAGAGCTCTTCTGGGAAGGAAGACAAAGCTGGAGGAGCTGATGGGGAACAACAACAATAAAAAGTTAAATAACTTGGGGCTTCCCCAGCAGCGCCTGGGGAGTGGGAACAACAGATCCTAGAGGAAATGCTTTGAGACTGCCAGAGATTTGGTCAGCTCTCATAGCCCAGAGTGAATATTTGGGCATCACACAGTGCAAGAAGAAATATTTTCCTCACTGCTGCAGATCTTAGAATGAGATTAACGAGCGTGAGTAACAAGGAACATGTTGCAATGCTGTTATAAAAGCAAGGACAGGCTCTCAGGTGAGTCTGTCACACAGGAAATTCAGTGAGAGGGGACCAGAAATCCCAGCTTGTCTGTCCTGGAGGGCACAGGTAAATAATAAGCAATTCCTTTAAACAATTCCACATTTATTGCCCCCAAACTGGCAGCTCAGATCTCTCTTGTTTGAGGATAAATCTCCAGTTCCAAGCTGCAGCACAGAGGTGTTGTCACTGACTTGTGGGTAACAATTTGGGGTGGCCTGGGGGAGATGCATGAAGAGGCAGGGGGGATACGCTCCAAATTAGAAGAATATTGAGGGTGGAAGTGTTAAAATTTAATATTAGGGCTTGTTTGGCTTTGTTTTTCATCACCATAATTCCAGACCATTTGATCCTTTTCTTCCAATTCAGGAAAAACTCTGGTTTTGCCTTCAGAGGAAGCACTGGCACCAGATCAGACAAACATCTCCCAAGTGAAAAAAGCAGGAATCCTAAAAAAGGGACTGTGCCCTTGCCCGGAGGCAGCTGCATGGACTAAATCCTCAGGTACACATGCTAATCCTCAGGAAAAACAGAGCAACCAGCAGAAACTCTTGCTGCTCAAGCTTGTAGGGAGTTTTCCAGTGAAAATGCCACAAAATAAAAATGCTAAAAAATATTTTGAGGAATTACATCTCCTTGCATGCCAAGACAAACTGAGGAGCTGCATTTCCAGAGGGACCGAGGGAGCAAGGGCAGAAATGAGAGGTTTAAAGAGCCCTCTTCAGCCCGGTGTGAAGGTGGAGAAAATTCAGGATGCCCTGAACATGGCCCGGGAGGGGCGAGGCAGGAGTGGCACCGGCGCTGTCCCTGTAACCCCAGGCAGGGACCGCGGTTCTCCGGCCCCCTCCAGTGGCTACAGCCCAGGGAGAGACCGGCAGCATCCGGGCTTTCCCAAATCCAGAGCCATCCTGCTCTTTATTGGGCAGCAGGTGGATCCAGGCTCACCACAGGTACCTCCCACCCGCCCTCAGGTCTGATCCTGCTGCTGTCCCAAACCATTTCGACTCCGGGAAAAGCCAACAGGCACTTGTGGAAGTGGCACTTTGTCCCCTCTGTTGTGTCCTGCCACAGTTCTCTCCACTGGAAGAAGGAGGGCTAAAAAGGTACTGTAACTCAAGTTGGGCTAAAAAGGGCTTTACTTGACTGCGGGGATTGAAAAACAAGAAACAAACAAACAAACAAAACCTCCAAAACCAACCAAAAAAAACCCCACTTCAACCCAACAGATGCCTTTCCCTCACCCTTTGAGCAGGATGATATTTGGATCCCAGCCATATCCCAGATATCTGGATGAGCAGGAAATGGTATTTGGAAAAAAAAAAAAAAAAACTTCAACCCAACAGATGCCTTTTCCCCACCCTTTGAGCAGGATGATATTTGGATCCCAGCCATATCCCAGATATCTGGATGAGCAGGAAATGGTATTTGGATCCCAGCTACCAGCATCCCATGCCCTGGACATCCTCCCCCAGCAACAAAGACAAGAAAAGCCAGTGTGAAAGGACAGCTTTGGAGCAGCTTGGCTGATTTCAGACCTCGTTTGGTTCTTCAAGCATTTGCCAAATCTTCTTATCCTGTCCATTCCAGCTTCCAGCAAGGCCAGGCCACACACACTTTATATATACAGCACAAATATAATGGGCATTTTTCAATGGATGGGATGTACACTGCAGGAATGTTTATTTTCTCACCCACAGCTTCACAAAACTCCATTTTTACTCACATTTTCTGAGCACACCTTATGGACAACATGGGAAAAAATACCTTTACAAAAGGGAATGCTTTACTGCATAGGAAAAATGGTGAAGTCCAAGCTAAGGCAAAAAGAAATGCTGTTTATATAATGTGAAAGGATAGAAATGCATGAATTATTGAGATTCCATACTGGAAGACTATTGTTTCCTGGGTTTAAAAGGACAGAGTAAGGCAGAAGATGCAGGCTTTTGCCATATAGGACGTGACAATGAAGTCTATGAATATCCTGAATTTATTTCAAGATAATTATCTCTCTACAGTGACAATTCCAAATTCTCTGTGTATTAAACCAGCTTGGCAAAGCTGGTTTGAGTAGCCTCAGCAACCAATCTCCACAGGGACTTCATTCCAACAGAATCCTGTGCATTTACAGCTTAATTTCATGTGAGTTGTCCCCAGGCTGGACTCATTCCAGGCCCTCAAGCCAAAGGTTTGGCCTTTTCCAGAGGCAAAGTCCCTCAGTGAAGATGGAAGTTGGATGGATGATCCAGGCCCTCCAAAGCTTGGTTCTGCACATCTCCAAGCCACTGATGAACCTCAGGCTGGTTTGCTGCTGGGCTGGGAGAACCATCCTTAGACCTGGAGAGATCCATGCTCAGGGGAATGCTTTGGATGGGATCTCTAATTAACGGAACAGCTTTAATTACAGACCAGACCTGCATCAAGCACTGAGCTGAGCCCATTCTCTCAATTTCTCTGGGCCACCCTCTGACATTCCCACTGAGGCATTTCACTGCAGTTCATTCCAGGTGGAACCACCATCCAGAGGGGGGCTGAGCGCAGGAACAGGGAATGGCCCCAGCCCAGGCTGCCTGAGCTGCAGGAGCATTTGGACAATGCTCTCAGGGGTGCACAGGCTGGGATTGTTGGGGTGTCTTTGCAGGGCCAGGAGCTGGACTGATGATCCTTGTGGGTGCTTCTAGCTCTCCCCACATCCTTCCTACCACCTTTACCCCAACTGGGGGTCCCATTTACAAAGCAACTAAAAATCCTCAGGGAAAAACCAACCCCAAAAACTGTTCCCATGGCACTTTCTCAACACAGTCCATCTCACTTTCTGCCTCCCCACACTGGAGCTCAGGAGCACGGTGAGCTCCTGCAAACCATTATGGATCCCCCAGCAAGGTGCCAAGAGGCTTTACAACCTGTTTGCATCTCCCAGGCATGTTCACACCTCTATAAAGCCAGTGCATGACTCACTGCCAGCACCAGGAAAACCAAAACCAGCTGCAGGCCTGGGAAGGGAATGGTGCAGAACTGCCCCTCCTCACCTGCCCACAGCTCCACATCCCCTGCACCTCACCTGGAGAAGGTCTGGAAATATCCTCTGCTTTGGTTTGCTTTTGCATTTATTTATGCCTCTGGGAAAAGAACGTTTTGGAGCCAGCATTGAGGCCTATGGGGTAAACCCAGAGGGTACAGGGACAAGGCTTGGAGCAACCTGGGATAGTGGAAGGTGTCCCTGCCCTTGGAGGTGAGCTTTAAGGTCCTTCCCAACCCAAACCAAGCTGGGATTCTCTGGTCTTTAAGGTCAAATCTGGAAAATTACCTTTGCCAGCTGGATGAGCAGGGGAAGTGGAGCTAGCAAAGAAAAATCATCCAAAAAAATTAAAACTTATAACACAGTGACTTTACTTGAATCGGAAAAGTTAAAGCAAGTACCATTTATCACCTGAGATTTTTCCCAAGATCCTGAGGCACCATCATCTCTACCCTTCTAAAGTTTTGACAATGATTCCTCTGCACTGAGCACATCACTGGCTGGCCCTGAGATCCCAACTAAAGGCCACTGACTCCCTGTAGAATGACTCTCCTGGGAGTTTTGGCATGAAGAGGCACTGGAAGTCAAAGGAGCCCAGGCTGCTGGATGCAACACTATGATTAGAAGCACGAAATCTCCCAACTCCTCAAAATAAACCCCTTTTTTCTCCCTTTTCCACAGTGCAAACAAAACAGACCTGTTTCGTGGATCTGGGTGAGTTTTCTCTGGTCTTACCACGGCATATGAAGTAAAATGTAGGTAGAAGTTCTGGGTTTATCCTCTGTGATGGGAAAAATAGTGAAGTAGGGACACTTTCCCCACACAGAAGTGCCACAGAGACCCCAGGTGTGTGTGTGACACAGATCAGTAACAGAGGTTACACATTTGCCAACAGCTACAGGATATATTGTATTTGCTCGAATAACACCCACACACGTTTAGCAGCCTCTCCCCAAGGAGATAAGACACTGAATCACTGCACCCTAAATCTGGAGGAGAAAAAAAATCCACAGGAGCAGGGAATTATGTGCACTCCATGAAGGAAAAAGAGGCAGGATTGGCACCTGGCTCTGTCAGGGCACTCATCTACCAAGTCAAACTGTCCCCAAAAGCAGCCAGCCGCCCTTTAACTGTGTTCATGGAGTAAAAATTGTTTAATGGGGTCTGGGATGGGAAGGCTGGGGATCAGATCCAGGCGGGATTTGCCAAGGATTCTCCGCACAGCTATGCGGCACAGAGACAAGAGGCTCCGGGCGCGGCCTGCAAGGAAAAACACAGGGAAGGATTACTGGGGAAACAGGGAGGGAGAACAGCAGCACGGAGGCAGGCCGGGAGAGCTGAGTGTGCACAAATCCCGCCTGGTGAGGAGGTCAAACCTCCTGGGCTTGGAGCAGATTTCCAACCACATGGGCAGGCTGGAAGGCAGGATGGGCTGGAGACCATGGAAGCCATCACTGCCAAGCCCACAGCAGGACCTGAGGGAGCGGCTGGAGCTGTGCCAGGTTGGATTTCAGGAAAAGGTTCTTCCCTCAGAGGGTGCTGGGCACTGCCCAGGCTCCCCAGGGAATGGGCACAGCCCCAGGCTGCCAGAGCCCAAGGAACATTTGAACAATGCTCCCAGGGATGCACAGGGTGGGATTGTTGGGGGGTCTGTACAGGGCCAGGGGTTGGACTGGATGATCCCTGTGGATCCCTTCCAACTCCACAGTTCTATCTGGATAATTTTAAAATTATGTCAACAGCACTAATGGCCAGCTCAGGCCTTATCCCAACTTTCTTTTGAGCGCTTCCTTTGAGTCCATGGAGAGCTCTTCCAGCACAGGGACAAGAGGATGGCGGTGCCCATGTTGATTCACGAACTGGAACTCCATGGCATCACTCCATTATCCCATATGCTCCACCTGAGGAGTCCCATTTGCCTCCTAAACCCAAGCCTAATGGAACTCCAGCTTATGTGAGCCTCGCTCCTCAGAATCCCAGGCAGGCTTGAAAACCAGTCCCATGCAAAGATGAGTAACCTGGGGATATGAATTGTATCCCACAGCCTGAATTCCTCTGAAAATTCTCTGGAGTTCAAGAGGGAAACCCCACTTCTTCCCCTGGTGCAAAGCTGTGGCCTTCACCTTCAGGTAGAAAACCAACCTTCAGGTGGGTTTCCGAGGTGCTGCGCTTTTCCCCACCTTTTTCCATCTCCATCCGAGCCTCCTCCTGCCCCTTTTTACCCCTGTTTGTGGCTTTCCTTCCCAACCAGTCTGTCCAGACTAAACTCCCTCCTGGATCCAGAGCCCAGGGTCACACAGGAACAGCTGGGACACACCTGTGTGGCTCTGGAGAACTGGATGCCTCTGGTGATCCACAGCTCAGATAGGACCCTAATGCCTAGTCTACATGAGTGGGCAATGGAAAAGAGCTGGGAGAAATGAAAAAGGCGGAGTAACAGACAGAGGTTGGACTGCTGAAGGACTCAAGAGGGGAAAACACCGTGTGAAGGTACAAAATGCAACAGGGGAAAGGCAGGGAGCGGAGAAGTCACTAATGCTTTGTTTGCCAGCTTGCTGGACCCCATTATCTAATTGCTGACGGTCCTTGAAGCGAAGACAGCAACACCCACCCCACCAGCACCTTCAGTTCCAAACAGCCTCTCCAAAGTGCTCTCCCGGGGAGCCAAACCCACTCACCCCTCGCTTCTTTGAACACCTCCAGCGCCTCGGCGTTCACCTTGACCCTCCCCGTGGCCTCGACTGCCAGGGCCTCCACCTTGACGAGGTTGAGGTCCGCTCCGAAGTCAACGAGGAGGCGGACGAAGGCGGGCTCGCAGCCGTGCCGCAGGACGGCGTCCAGCACGCACACGGGCGAGCCCCGCGAGAAGCCGCGCACGTTGATGGGCCCGCAGCAGTTAAAATCCGGGTCGGCTCCCGCCTGGAGCAGCAGGCGGAAGCAGGGCAGGTGGTGGTAGGCAGCGCTGATGTACAGGGGGCACACCACCAGCGTGGTCAGCGGCCGCGGCGCCGCGCCCGGCCCGCGGGACGCCAGCTGCTGGTTCACGTCCACGTCCGCGCCGTGCCTGCTCCAGGGAGAGGGAGGGAAGGTTGGGAATGGCAAGGGAGGAGGCTGAAGGGCATGCGTGGAGTGAGAACCCCTGGAAGCTGCCCATCCCTACCCTCAGATGGGCCTGGCAGCGCTTCTGAGTGAGGACAACATCTCCGAGAAGTAAAGATGTTTCCCTGCTCACAAGAGCCCAGGATTTGGAGAGAGAAGGAACAGCAACATCCTTGCCCTCCTGAAGGATTGGGTTTGCATGGCCAGGTTTTGGTGGTGGGAGGCTACAGGGGTGGCTTCTTTCAGAAGCTTCCCTTCGAGAAGGAGGGAGAAGTGGGGGAAGGTGTTTTTGAAGATTGACTCCAGTTCTCATTACCCTGCTCTGATTTTATTAGGAATAAATTAATTTTATAGCCCCGAGTCTGTTTTGGCCATGATGGCATTTAGTGAGTGATCTCTCTCCTTCCTCATCCCCCCTAGTCCTTATCTCTCCCATTCCTTATCTCAATCCAGGAACTTTTAGCTGTATTTTCTCTCCTCTCGTGCCTTGGCACCAGGGATGGCTCAGCCCTGAGCCAGCACCACGTAATGCTGGATGCTAACGAGCTGCCTGGGGAGAAGGGATGTTTCCAGATGACTCCACTGAAGAGGGATGCTGAAATAACTTCCCTACGAGGGTAAAACGGGCCAAAAAAGCAACACAGGCGCTCGATCCCAAACAGCAGGGAAATGGAAACAGGAATCTGCACTCCACAGCGAAACATCTGTGACAAACCCAGCTCCCAAAGGAGCTGGAGGGGCTGGAATCTGCTGGGGATTCCCTCAGGCAGTGGGGACAGTAATTCCATGCACCTCTCATGCAGCCTGGATGGGAAGAAGGAGGAAGACAACACAATCCCTAAGGAGTAGCTGGTTTTAATCCAAAGCCCTGTCCGTTCTACCCACAGAGGGAGAAAAGGTTCCTTCACCCACCAGTCTCCCTCCCCAGATTGCAAACGGAGCACTCAGAGAACCAGGTTTTTCCTAGATAGCATGATATTCCTTTCAGGAGTTCATAAAACCAAGGAAAATACCTGGGGACAAAAGCTACCTCAAAGGAGGCTCAGTTCTCACTGAAACCAGCGGGGACCGCTCCCTATCCGGCAAATATTTAACCAAATCCTGCAGTTCTGAGCATGGCAAGAGTCTCATTCCACTTAAGCACACCCAGAACAAGGGCTGAGAGACTCCTCTAAGAGCTGCAAATGGCACAAAGTGTATTTTCCCCCTTAAAATCAGATTACACAAGCATTTGGACAGAGTTATCTGTGCTGCTCTGAGACTTCCACAGGGCTGTTGTAAGGCCACAGCCTCCTGAGCAGACAGCAGATCTCCCTTCATTCCAGTCCTTTCTTCCCCCATTATTACCACCAAAATTCTCAGTAGAAGCCCTCAATTCAAAGCAAACCCCCAGATTCTACTTTTAGCAGGGTCAGACATGCACCTGAGGGATGGGGGTGGTCTGGCAGCTCTCTTTGTCCCAGTTCTAGCCTGGCAAAAGGATCCTTTCATCCTTGCTACCCTCAGCTCCACTACAGGCAGCAGTGGATCCCACTACAGCATGATCCCAAATTATGAGGAATGTCACTTATACCCTGGCATTTGAAACCTAAATATTTCCAGCAGCCTCCCAGTAAAATGGATCCCCACTCCACAGCCACGTGTGGATTTACTGCTCATGGATGGGATTTCACCTCTTGCTCGGTTCAGCACTTGTAGGAATGCTCAGAGATCCCAACAGGGCTACCACAGGATTTTCAAACCAGGTGATGTTTACACACCTGCAGCACACATGACTGGGTTCAGGTTCTCTCAAATATTCCCTCCTATCTCAGGAAAAGTGTCTTCCTCGTTGCACTCTCCCTGCCAAATCCTGTGGATCTAACATTTTAAAAATCCCTGCAACATAAAGGCTGCATTTTTCACTAAGTAACTCTGCACAGATCTCTGAAATCCCTACTCTGAGATATTTGAAATTTTGGGCAATCTGACAATTTGGTATTAGCTTAGCAGCCTTGGGAGAGACATTGCCTAATAAAAAGAGATTGGACAAACTCCAGTTAATTTTTAATCCTGAAAGCTGTCCAAAATCTTGCTTTTAATATTGCTGGTGAGGTATCCCAAGGAGCAGACACATAAATCAACGCATCAGCTCTCCCTGTGCTGCTGAAATACCATTTGCTACATTTCACCCTGCCTGGGTGGAGAGAGCAGGGGAGATTTTTGGGAATGCAGCAAGCTGAACCCTGTATCAACAAGCCTGTGCTGATGGGAACATCCTCCTGTCAGCTTGTTGGGAAAGGAACAAGGAGGGGGGGATTATCTCCCCTTCTTCCTCCAAGCTGTACTTGCACGAAAATTCAAAAAAGGAAGAAAATCCCCAAGGATTTTGAGTATTTTCCTATTCAAATCCTTTTGTTATTTTCTAGCATTTGAGGTCATCAAAAGGATTCCTTCAATTTTCTTCCCTTTTCACTGTTTCTCTCTGCAACCTACATTTTCCCATTATGATCCCTTATTATTTGGCACCCACGGCCCACATAGTTGTCCAGAACAATCCCTTGGACAGAAATCCTCCCATTTTAAAAGAAGGAATAATCAGGGCACGCCACAGAAGGAACAATTCAAGTTCCCACAACCTCCTGCTACACCCTGAGCCCTGCTGGTGCTGGCAAGGGAGCTGCCTGAGGGAAAACCCAACACACAGGGAAATTTGTTGGGGGAATCCACCGCTCAACTACCTCCAGTCAAGGGCATGATGGAAGTTGGGGGAATTGCAAGGTTTGGATAGGACTGGATGGCAGGCTCAGAACTGGAGACTCATTGGAACAGGTGGGAACAGCCCCGTTGCCAAGGCCAAGTGACGGGAAATCCAAGGACGCCCCTTTGGGCACCTCTCCACCCTCTCCTCTCCAGCCCACGCGGTGTGGAGGCTGCAGCCAGGCGAGGAGGGAAGGGAGCAGGGAAAGGGAGAGGCAGCGCCGGGCTCTGACCTGATGAGCTCCTGCAGGATGTCGGCGCGGCCCACGCGCGCCGCGTGGTACACCGGCGTGCTGCGGTGGTGCCGGCTGCCGTTGGGATCAGCGCCGGCCTTCAGCAGGATCCTGGCACACTCCAGGTGCCCGTTGACCACGGCCACGTAGAGAGCCGTCTGGCCCTTGACGTCCACCAGGTCGATCTCGGCGCCCTTGCGCAGCAGGAAGTCCACGCAGGGCCCGTGGCCGGCGGTGGCGGCGATGCGCAGCGGCGTGCAGGGCAGCCACCCGCAGCACCACACCGACTTCTCGTTGATCCGGCTGTGGTTAGGGGGGACACGCGGTTAGGGCAGCCCCATTCCCTCCAGGAGGGTGCCCCCTGCACTGCCCAGGCTCCCCAGGGAAAGGGCACGGCGCCAAGGCTGAGGGTTTGGACAGCGCTGCCAGGGGTGCGCAGGGTGGGGCTGTTGGGGGGTCTGTGGGCTTGGACTGGATGGTCCCTGTGGGTCCCTTCCACTCAGGATAGGATTCTCTGATGTCTGGCACTTTTGGCAGCCCCAAAAAGCTCCTGTCAATCGCCTGACTGAAGCAGAGCAGTGCTTGGAATGGTGGGCTTTAGTTGTGCCAGGGGCTGCACACCGGCACAAACCCCACCTCAAAAATCACCTATAAAAAAACCAAAACAACCTCTCCCTTCTCTCTCTTTGTAAAGGGAGATGTCCCAAACTGGTAGCCCAGAGAAGCTATGCCTGCCCCATTCCTGGAAGTGTCCAAGTCCAGGCTGGACAGGGCTTGGAGCAACCTGGTCCAGTGGAAAGTGTCCCTGCCCGTTTAGGGTTAGGATTAGGATGAGCTTTCAGGTCCAGATCTACCTCCAAATTCAAAGACATCACTCCTCTGCTCACTCCATCACTTGTTGAATGGAGCTGTGGGTCCCACCCTCCTCTTCCTGTCAAACTCTGCTTTTTCCCACAAAAAACCCTCAGCCCGAGGGTCCCAAGAGCCCCAGCTGCCCAGGTAGCAGAGGGAAGGGCTGGCTCGTTCTCATTTTTTGCTGAAATAACACTTTTTTTTTTTTTGAGGCTGGGAAACATTTAGCACTCTAAGCAGATTTCTCCATGATGCAGGAAAATTAATTAACTATCCCCACAGTCACAGGGTTAGCACTGGGCAGATTTTGTAACATGGGGTGTTTCAGGTTTATAGTTGATTATAATCCCTTTTGTATGTTTTCCCCATTATCCGTAGGCTCCCGTTTTCCTGGTATCACATTCCTATCCTGATCTGAAAAGAGTTCATGCACAGCTGCCACAGCATCATGAGCAGCTGTGAGATCTGCCTCCTGGGAAACCAGGGGAATGATCCAGGGGAAAGGGGAGCATCCTGCCACCCTGACACCTCTCCCATAAAATCCTCTGGAACCGTCCAAGGCCAGGCTGGACAGGGCTTGGAGCAAGCTGGGATAGTGGAAGGTGTCCCTGGCTGCGGCAGAAGGTGGGATAAGATGAGCTTTGAGGTCCCTTCCTACCCAAACCATGCAATGGATGGGGGTCACCAAAAGGAGCAGGCTGTGGAGACAGCGAGAACATCCTAGGAAACAGCTCTCCCCAAAACCAGCGGGTGGGATGGGACTCCCAAACAGGTGCAGGCTGTGGGAACAGTGGGGAGAACACCCTGACACCTGTCACAAGAAAAAGGGCCGGGATGGGAGCCCCCGAAAGGCGCAGCAGCGAGCACGAAGCATCCTCCCTGACACCTCTCCCACAAAACCCCCATCCCTGGCAGTCTCCCAGGCCAGGCAGGACGGGGCTTGGCGCACCCGGGGACGGCGGCTGCCGTGTCCCGGGCTGCATGCCCACCTCTGGAAGCTCTCGTCCTGCAGCAGGCTGCGCAGCGTGGGCAGGTCCCCCACGAAGGCCGCGTCGTGCAGCCGGGTGTCCTCGCAGCGCTCCAGCGGGTGGTCGCAGAACTGCTCCCGCAGCCACTCCTTCAGGTTGCGACCTGCGCTGGAGAGCGGCACACGGCGGGGTGAGACAGGGCCGGCAAAGGGGGACACGGACCCCACCGCCCCGGGACCCCACGGTACCTGCCCGGGGCGGCCGCGTCCCCGCCCTCCGCCATCGCGCCCGCCGGCCCCGCTCCCCCGCCGGCCCCGGGCCCTCCCCCGGCCCCTCCTTCCCGGCCTCCCTTCCCGGCCTGATTGGGCCCGGCTCGCTTCCTGCTCCCGTTAAGGTGGATCCTCCCCGCCGCCGCCAGCCGCCCTGGATTTGCTGAGGGAGCTGCGGCTGCGGGCTCCTGCTGCGGGCACGCCGGAGCCAGGACAGCGGGCAGGGCTCGGACAGCTGCCCGCAGCCTCATGGGCTCTTGGTCTCCCCGCTTCTGGTCCTTTTACCGGTCTTATCTCGGTTTTCCCGCAGCGCAGCTTCCGGGATCTTCACTTGGAAGGGATCCATGAGAATCCTCCAGTGTAACCCTGCACAGACACCCCAACAATCCCAGCCTGGACATCCCTGGGAGCATTGTTCAAATGTTCCTTGGGCTCTGGCAGCCCGGGGCTGTGCCCTTTCCCTGGGGAGCCTGAGCAGTGCCCAGCACCCTCTGGGGGAAGAACCTTTTCCTAAAATCCAACCTAAACCCCCTCTGACACAGCTCCAGCCACTCCCTCAGGTGCTGTCCCTGTCACAGAGAGCAGAGATTGGAGCTGTCCCTCGGGAGGAAGCTGCCAGCCACGCTGAGACCTCCTCTCTCTCTCCTCCTCCTCCTCTCCAAGCTGAACAAGCCAAGTGCCCTCAGCTGTTCCTCATCCCTTCACCATCTTCATTCTCTCTACTGCCTTCACCATCTTTGTGACATTTCTTTGAACACTCTCTAACAGCTTTGTATCCTCATTATTGCTCTACAAGCGTTTAAAACACACTCTCAGCTTCTAAGTGCACATTTTCGAGTCTCCAGTGGCAGCAGGGAATGGTGGGCATCCATCCATCCATCCATCCATCCATCCATCCATCCATCCATCCATCCATCCCCTCTCCTGCTGCTCTGTGGCAGGATATCCCTCCACAGACACCAGGCTCTGGCTGCAGACACGGTTTCCTTTGGGCTTGAGGAACATGCAGGAGAGAGGTACAGTCTGCAAATCAAACCCGTTTTCTTTGCCTGCTGGAAGACCAGGAGGGGATGGGATTGATGGGAATTTCAGATCCACTAGCACTGCCACCTTCCCCTGCCTGCAGCCCTTACACCACAGGATGAGGCACACCCAGGGTCAGTAATCCCTTGCTTGGTTTCTAACCTAAATTTACAGCTGCATCCAGAGGCTCTGTGTGCCCCACTCTGGGCAGGGAAGCAGCCCTACACATCTCATTCCCTGCTGCATCCCTTGCCCATTTAATGGGAATACATTTAATGAGCTCCTCCAGCTCCAGTGAGGAGCGATGTGGGCTCATCCAGAGGAAAAAACATGTTGGCCCATGGGCTTTTTTTTTTTTTAATTTGGAGCTGATTGTTCTCCCACAGGGAAAGTGTGGACAGGCAAGAAAGGATGGAGGATGGATCAACACTGTTTATTAGCAATATATCCATGTGGGAAAGCAGAGCCCTAGAGGGGAACAAAGGGATGGATAAACAGGACAGACAAAGCTGGAGTTGCTCATGGTTTGAGGTTCCTTCGGTTCTTCCTGCAATGAAGGCAGAACGTTCTTACAGACCATATCCCAGGAGATTTTCCAGCAGTTTGTCTCCTGAACCAGGCTTTGATCCAGAGGAAAAAACATGTTGGCCCATGGGCTTTTTTTTTTTTTTAATTTGGAGCTGATTGTTCTCCCACAGGGAAAGTGTGGACAGGCAAGAAAGGGGAGCAGAGGATGCAACACTGTTTATTAGCAATATATCCATGTGGGAAAGCAGAGCCCTAGAGGGGAACAAAGGGATGGATAAACAGGACAGACAAAGCTGGAGTTGCTCATGGTTTGAGGTTCCTTCGGTTCTTCCTGCAATGAAGGCAGAACGTTCTTACAGACCATATCCCAGGAGATTTTCCAGCAGTTTGTCTCCTGAACCAGGCTTCGATTATCTCATTTTTTTTTTTAATTGACTTTTCCTTAAATGCATTTTTTTTTTAATTTGGAGCTGATTGTTCTCCCACAGGGAAAGTGTGGACAGGCAAGAAAGGATGGAGGATGGATGGATGCAACACTGTTTATTAGCAATATATCCGTGTGGGAAAGCAGAGCCCTAGAGGGGAACAAAGGGATAGATAAACAGGACAGACAAAGCTGGAGTTGCTCATGGTTTGAGGTTCCTTCGGTTCTTGCTGCAATGAAGGCAGAACGTTCTTACAGACCATATCCCAGGAGATTTTCCAGCAGTTTGTCTCCTGAACCAGGCTTTGATTATCTCCTTTTTTTTCCTTTTTATTTTTTTTTAATTAACTTTTCCTTAAATGCGCATGAAGAGCAGCCCATCCCATGTTGTCCTGTTGAGTTCTTGTGCAGTGGTGGTGAGAGGGAGTGACTGTGCAGACTCAGCCTCCAGCTCTGGAAATCCATAGGTATTTAAGAGAAATTCCACGGGGAAATGTACTAAACTCTGCTAATTTCTTTCACTCCAAGTGGCTGCAGTGGGAAAGTGGAAATTTGCAAACAGTTCACCATTTGGTGAAGACCTAGGAAACGCTTTTTCCAAGTCTGGAGAAATTGTTTTGTCCAGCATATCCTGACAGCTCCTACCAGCTGTGCCAAGCTGAGGGCACAGGCTGTTGGCAATCCACACCAAAAATGGAGCTTCCAGGATCTAAAAATAGTCACTGATCCAACAGAGCAACACATGCTGGCTCACCCATTAGGCAACACCTGTTCTCCAGTCCTAATCCTGAAGCAATGTAAAAAACCCTTCAAATTCAATAAATAAATAAATAAATAAATACATAAAGCAAATAGAACTCCTCCTGCTGATCCTGATCCAGAGGATCCCTCAACCACCCCCTCCACATTCACTAAGATTTCTCACTGCCCCCCCCCAGAGCAGACACATCCTCCTACTCCCCATCCTCTCCCAACTGTGCTCCTCATGCTTCAAATAAAACAAGTTCAGCCATCCTGCTCCTGGAAACAGGACCCCTAGAAAGGGCCAGAAAGGAATCAGCCCATCCACTGGGCTCCCACCAGAATCCCTTCCCAACAGGACTCCCTTCCCTTCCCTTCCGTTCCCTTCCCTTCCCTTCCCTTCCCACCTGATCGTGGCTGAGGGGAGAAGAGGGGGCAGGGGTGAACTCTGTTAATCCACTGCTTTTACTCCCTGGAATGAAGCCAGTGGTTGCATTTAGTGCCAGACTGAGAAGAAAATGCACCTCCCTCCCTCCCTCTCATTCCTGGATAAACGTGGACATCTTGCCTGAAAAGGACAATGATTTACACCTGGTGCTAAAACCAGTGGTTAGTCTCACCACCACCACCACCTCCAACGCCCTTTTCCAGGGGCACCACACCTTTTAAATCCACCTAGGTTCCTCCCAGACCTTCCAAGCAGCAGGAAAAAAGCTGCATTATGAAATACTTTGCAATTGTAACTGCTTCGATGCCAGGGTTGCAGTGAAGGAAAAGAAAGAAAGGAAGGGGGGAAAAAATGCCGTGACCAGAAGTGTAATTCACACTTAGCTCAGTCCATAAAACTTCTCCCTGCCTGGATCCAAGCCATCGGCTTGGATTTGTAGTGAACTCTCAAGTGGAGTTGCCCTAGTGATAAATGCATCTGTGGGGAAAGAGGTAGGGAGAAAAAAGTCCCTCATGCCCCTGTTTTTAGCTCAGCCTGATGTTTTTCTGGGGAATTGGTGTGGTTCCTGAAGTGGACATGAAGGCATGCATTAACAACAGAAAACAGGAATGAGAGATGGGAGGAGAATTGAATTCCAGCATCCAGGATGTCATTAGGACTGGGGCTGGAAGCACAAACATGACAACAGAAAGGTTGCTTGGAGTCCAGGAAGTCAATCCTGCTGCAAATGGGCCTAAATACCTCTGTGCTGAGGGAGAAGAGGCAGCACTGATCATCAGCCAGCTGAGTTCTAACCTTCCCTCAGGTGTCCAGCACTTTGCTCCTTCCATCCTGACCGGGAGAAAGCAGAGGGTGTGGAGTGGAGATTCTACTGCAACATCACAGAAAGGCAGGGAGAGAAAATCCCACCCATCATCATCATCATCATGAGACAGAGCTGAACAGTCGCCCCACTGCTCCCAGGGAAACTGGGACAATCCGTCCTGACAGTGAGGGAAAAGGGCTAAAATTGAGTAAAGAGCCATCAGGATTAACACAATTAAGGAAAAATAGCCCTAAAAAGGGAGTATTCCCTACTGGCTGCGCCCAGAGGGGTGTGGGTCACAGCACCTCTGGTTGTTGGAATTTTGGTTAGGATTTTCAGCCTTGCCCAGAGGGTGCCCGATGCTAAGGAAACAGGGCAGGGTTGTCCTACACATCCCTTCCATTTCTCCCAATTAAATTATGGGACTCCCTGCTTTTCCCTCATTCTTTTCCTATTATTTATTTCCAATAAGGGCATGAAAGGATCTGGAAATCCTTGTGGGCTGTGCTGCAGGAACACCTCAGGAGCATGAAGAACCCAAATCCACCAGCCTGGTGTCTCCAGCAGGATCCAGCCACAGGTTCCCAGCTCATGGATCAAGCACAGTTGCAGACATTTTCTTCTCCAGGGCCATCATCACAAACAAGTTTGAGGCAGGGAAGGAAAACACTGATGGAGCTTTTACCACCATTTTCCAGGAGAAACAGCTATCCTTTGATGGCAGACATGGGAATTTCACAGGAGAAGTGGGCGTCTCCTTTACCTCAGTCCACAAAGGAAACACCTCCTTACAGGCAGGTTAGAAAATACCAGAAAATCTGCTGAGGACAAGTTTCCATCCAAAAAGGCAAAGGGCTGCCCAGGAATGAGTCACTCAGGAACGTTTCAGCCCAACTCCCACCAGGGATTTGCAGACAAAAGGGATTTATTTATATTTTTAGCTGTTTGGGTTTTTTTAACTCTTCAAAAAATATTCAGATTTTGTTGGGAAAATAAAGCTGGAAAGGTTTTTTTTTTCACACCCACACCCCTGCCCCAATGTTTTTGCCACTTGAATAATTTCTTTCAGCACTCATGTGGAATTGTCAGAAGAAATAGCTCAAGGAAAAGCAAGAATGTGGGGGGAAAAAGAGCTGGGGAGGAGAAAAGTTTGCACAGGAGTTGGACCTTGATGATCCTTGCGGGTCCCTTCTAACTCAGTGATTCTGTGATTTCACATCCCTCCCTCTTCCCCTGAGTCTGGCCATTGTCCTCTTCATCCCAAACCTGCATTTCTGACACACAGAGAGGTCAAGCACTGAATATTTCATAGAAATTATTGAATGGTTCGGGGTGGAAGGGACCTTCAAAGATCCTCCAGTCCAACCCACCAAACAGTGAACATTCCATAGAAGTTATAGAACTATTTGGGCTGGAAGGGACCTTTAAAGGTCATCCAGTCCAATGCATGAAGGCATTCCAGGCAGTCCAGATCTATGC